CTTTGTCCGCTGAATTCCAACGAAATCCTCACCCCTTTTGGTACCATAATTTTGTGGACTAATCAGCCATTACAAATGGGATGCTTACTTAGTCGAGTATGGTGACTGCCTGCTCTGCCGAATTGACCAATTAAATTATTATGGACAAGCTCAAAGATGTATAGTGTTATACACAAATCAAGAGATGTTTTGGTCAACGTTACTGTTCCGAACTCCACCAGTTATTTTTTATAACATTAGAAATATCGCCAACTATTTTTGAGGTCAGACGGGACTAAGAACATCTAATTTTTATACGCGTTTCGTAGAGCGTGTTGAGATTGGTTTGCGTACCGTTGCATTTTTGCAGATCTTAGTATGCGCCGTTTAAACTCGTTCGTCTGTTATGCAATTAGCTTTTCAACTATGCTTTACCGTAATAACTTGTCCCTACTTTAGTTGTCAGTTAATCTGATAAATGAGCATTTGAAGTTTTAACTTGCCACCTGTCTGACTTTACTGCGACAGTTGCAAGAGACGTCTGCTTAATCTAGTTAATTAGCCAGACGTCATGCAGATGCAATTGATAATGTCACCATTTGCGTCGGCCTCTCTAACTTTTATAGTAAACAAATATCCTGACCACTTTAACCCAATCTGGTTGATGTGAACAATTTTAAGACACGGTTTTGTGTCATTCCTATCGACAACAAGTTTTATCCGCCACTTGTCTTTAGCACCGTTTGAAGAAGCTAGAAGTTATATTGGCATCTTCAATTAGGTTATGGGAAATAAAGTCAAAGCTCCCATACCTTTCTAATTTATGAAAGCTTGATGCATTCAGATGGTTACCTTTGTTTCCGTATCTATGAATATTGCAGCGCTTTTGGGACGGTTTATCGGCCTTAGCAAGCAGTGTATCAATAGGCAGTTCCAATCTGCACACCCGCTGTCCTCTCTTCATGGAATGCCAGCTAATGGACATGACAGGTGATTCTTCTTCATCTCCATCTACCGCAAGCTACGTCTCAGTTGTGGATCTGGTCCGTCTCTCTGAGAACTACAGTGTCTTTGAGAACCAGAAGCTACTTGGTTCGCCTGCTTCTAAGGCGGAGATTAATCAGCTGTCGCGGATGCAGACGGAGCAACAAAATGTCTTAGCTGATGTGCCCACATATCCCGTGTTGCAGCGCCCACATGTCTGCTCTACGTTGAAGCGCCACCCTTGCCATCATTGTTATTTCCAGCGGCAGATAAATCGGAGTCAGGAGGCGGTGTTAGAAGGCGTGGAAGAGCTTCTACTCACCCACAAGAGTGCCTCCATCAATGTGCACGACTTCGCTGACAG